TGCTCGTATCAAATCCGTAAATGTAGTCATTTCACTTCGAGCGCAATGTATGGCCACCTCATCGATCGACTGCAATCGATAAATCGATATCTACTATTTTACGTGTGTTTCAGTTGATTCCTACCGAGAAGTACTCAGTACTGGTATAGATTTCTCGTTTGCTACATGATGGTGGTTGTGGTGGAGGCGGAGTCGATGGGTAGGCGGAGCTACTGTACGAGCTGTCCGCGGCTTGTTGCTCCTGAAAGGTTAATTATTGATTTTATCGATTAGTCCAGCGTAAATATTTTTACTTACTGAACGAGCTTGTTTGAACAAATCCAACATTTCTCGTGCCTGTCTATCCACTAGCTCAGCGGTTTGATGACGCTCACGCTCCTAAACCGTAAGGTCGTCTGTGATTGGTCAAAGAATGTCTGGCCAATCAGGCAACAGCACTCAAAAAATAACTCACCCTCCGTTTGGATTGCATTGTCTCTAATTTCTTTTCCCTTTTGATCGTTAATTGACGTATAAGGTCATCTTTATTGCGGATATTGGCTTGTCCTTTTTCATATTTTCGCGCAAAATCCGCTAAAGCGCGTTCCCATTCTTCCTGAAAAGGGCATTTCGGCTATAGTCTGAGGGAAAATCATGGTATTTCCTGAAATTTACCCTTGTTTCCGATTCAAACTGTTCTTTTTCCTTGGTTCGCTGATTTTGGAATGAATCATAAAGTTGATCTTCGGCTCGTCGGTGTAGCAGTTCAAGGCGCGTTTGTGCGTCATAGTCCTAAACAGACGAAGAACTGACTTTGCGCATAATTGGGAATGAGCCAAAAAATTTGGGGATGCAAAAACATGAGAGCTCACCACAGCATATCGTGCTCCTTTGTGTACAATTTTTGGGTATGGCTTAGCGACTTGAGTGGCTTTGATGGCATGAGCGATTTTCATATCTTCGAGACCAGCATCTCTAAAGCAGACTAATTTACACAAATTAGACTATAAACATACGAAAAATCTTGATCGCCGGTGTCTAGAAATCCATTAATTCGAAATATTTCGACTTACAACCTTCTATATCCATTGGTAGTCTTTCCGCTTCCATTCTCCACCGGAGAACTTTCGCTTCGTGATGGCGGTAAATCATGAGGCCCAGCAATTGGTACATGATTTGCGCAGTATACTTCCTAAATGGGATAAATTTGTTTGATAATAACGAATTTAAATCCAAGGTCACGCATTCAAACGAATATCATATTCATTATGAGAAACTTTTTGGGTCAACAAGGAAATCCCCCGCTTTCTTCAATATGAAATGTTTTCGGAATCGACTATTCCCTGCTACCTCGTCCCTCAAACGAACATACGTCAAACGTTGTACATTAAAAGTATGTCAACGCTGTTACGCAGAAATCGTATGTGTCAGCAATGCGCGCAAATGTGAACTCGTACCAAGCTAGTAATTTTTTTGCTATGAATGCCAATTTTTATATAGGTGGGAAACGAGCAATAGTTAAACTTCTTTCATGACGGCATGAGATATATTCCTTGAAGATTGGTGAAAAGCTGGCATAAGACGAAAAGTATGGAAGGTGATATAAGCTAACTTTCATAAAATATGATAATTATCAGTAAGTTTTTTAGTAGTATAATGATAACTTTGGTAATTTTTATAAGCCACATAAATTCATGAATAAAATTTAAATTAATTTCAATT